ACCCGCAGCCGGCCGGAGGAAACGCCTCGTTACCAGCCAAGCCCGTGGTGGGATTAATTAGGGGGATTTTTGTGGTGCGCTGGCCTGTTTCTCCATAAGGATTGTATCCTAGCTGGGCTGGCTAGGTGTTGCGATTCTTCTACTTACTCTAAGTCCATGTTTTGTATGGCCTCGTGTCAGCCGGGGGAAGAGGCATCTGTGGAGACGGGGAGATTTATACCATAAAAACACCAAAACCGATAAGGTTCAGTTGTGGTTTTGGGTTTATGCAGCAAGAAAAATCAGTGTATGCCCTGCGTTGCAGTCATTTTTTTATATTCTGAAAAGGAGAGGAAAAAAAGTTACATTAAATCACGCTCGTGAGTCAAGTAACTTGTTAAGAGTAGCATGGAAAACACTAAATTTTAGAAAGGAAATTTTTGGTGCTGGCTAGTAATTGTATAGTGTAATGTAGCAATTTAAGTATATGGTAAGTTGCAAGCTTTCTTGCATTTATTATGTTCTGGTATAGTGTGTGCGCTACGGGAAGAAAGGATTGCTAGGTCTGGTGGAGGTGGAGAGAGAAGCCCCGGTAGCTTGGGCTTCTGAAGTTGCGAGGAGGAGCACGTGGCTCTTTCTCGTCAGGAGAGGGTGAGCCAGATAAAGGAAGCCAAAGTTCTCGGAATGGTACGTTTCTGTGAAAAGAGCTGCATTCCGGTACTGCTCAGCAAATTTAAATCAGATTTCTGTTAGGGTTGCCAATGCAGTAAGACCTCCTGTTTTTTCTTGACGGGGACTAAAATGAAATGCAGCTTCTTTGATCTTTTTTAATTGGCAGTTAGGCAAAACCCCCAAATACTTCATGACATTTTATTCCACCTCTGGGATGGTGGGCTGTTTCTTTCAAGAATTCACATGGAACGATACCTCCAAGGTGCATGTAACTGTCAATTAGACCATGTGACAAAAAAAATTAAAGTATATCCCTGAAATGCTGTCAGTCATTGAAATATGGTTTGTTTGCAGTGCTGTGCAAATTCAGTAATTTTTCATGCTGGTTAATTCCGAGTCTTAGGGCAGCTGTTAGAAAAGACTCTCCTGATTTAAGCGGGGTTTGGATTGGGCCTGTGTTATTCTGCAAATGCTGGTTAGGCTGGCAGGAGCACATCTCGCTGCCTAGAATCACGGCTTAAAATCACTCCTTTGCCCACACCCATCTGTTTTTTTGCCCCATCTTTCTCTCTCATGCATTTTATTTGTGTGTGGAGGAGGCTATCTATACAGAAATTAAAATGACTACGTTATTTTAGGATTTGAACATTAACTGTTAGCATCTGCAGTTACTTGAAAACCAGCTCTCAGGACATTCTCTCTCTTCCAGATTTCTGACATAGCAAGGCTTTCTGTGTTGGCTTCTTTTATGTTTGTCAGGTGTCTATTGTGTATTGCCATTGCAGCTGTTGCAAGGATATAAATAGTAGATGCTGTGTTGGGATTCTTGATTTTCATCTTCAGTTGTGCAGGCTGCTGAGGACTGAAAGGAGTGTGGGGGTGATGTCCTAGAGGCATCTCATGATACTGGGTTCTGAACTTGCAGTGACTGGTGTGGCCAACAAGTCATGCTCCGGAGGAGGCCTCGATGCCATGTCTGGTTGGTGGTTGCTGCCACAGTGAGAACAATGATCTGGTGTCCTGCGATAAAACCTTATCTATATTCTTCATTTAGGAGTTTGCTCTTTTCTCAAGTAAAATCCTTCGAAAGGCCCCATGCTGAGAGTGCGACGTGTGCTTCGGGCGGGAACCAAGCAGTATTTGTAAAAAGCTGATGTAGTTGTCATAGCTTGATGTGTAGCAAGCCAAAGAAAAATCTAAAGGTTTCCTTAGAGTCTTGCTCATCTGAAATTGAGCACACAGAGACTTGACAATTATTTGGTCTTTTCTTTTCATCTACATTGTTGTGTATCACAGAGCTTGCAGATCAAAATTGTTTGTTAGCATGGTTTTAAGAAAAGCTGCTTTCATTAGCAAAAGCAGGACCTCTTGGTTCCTACTCTGATTTACATTTTCCAAGTTTGCTATTCAAGTAAGATGATAGAATGAGTCTTGAGGAGTAGAGTCTCTGTCCAGGCGCTGGCTGTGGGCTAGAAGCAAAAGGCTCCAATCCCTCAATCACTTCTTTTTCTTCTAACAGAGTTACTGAAGGGGTCACTGCTGGTACGAGCACTCTCTCAAATCTTTGAGTGTTCTGACAGTATGATCTTATTTTTGTAAGATTACTGGCCTCTGGCAGATGATCTGTGGCCACTAGTTTCCTTTCATTCCTCTCTTCCTCAGAGAAGTTGCAACCATTAGATTCAAGGCTATGGACTCAGTAGGAGGGGCTCCCATCCCATGAATAGTTGTCTTCCAAGCAGTATTCTGTCAAGGTATCATAGAACTGCCCTGTTTTCAGTTAGAGAGAGATGTGTCTATCTTTTCTGTTAAACTTGGGTGATGGTTTTCAAAATAATGGATGGATTTTGAAATAACCAGTAGAAGTAGGCATTGAGCAACGTACCCTTTGCTGGTTGCTCTAAGCAGTTCTGTCAGTAGGGACTGTTCCTATGATTACGGTAAAGTAAGGAGGGGCTGTAAAAACTCTGCTGGTAGGAAGTGTAAAAATAATTGAGTCATTACAGTGTATCCTTCGTTGCTGACTAGGCCAAAGCCGAGAAAAATTGTCATTTTTTATCTATGCTGATGCAGAAATGCATTGGGGCATGGCTTACTGTGGAGGATCAAGACCACCTAGAGACCGGTGCAAAGCAGGGCGCAAGTACCTGCATAGAAATGCTGCTTGGAAAGGTGCTAGAGGAGCCCTGGTAGTCTTCCCACGTCACTGTCGCCAATGGATTCTTTTTGTCATGTGCCTAATGTACAAATATACAAAATGTGTTTTCTAACAAGGGAAAATACAGCAGAAGTAACAGTTATTGAACATCTTGTTGTGGGTGTGATTTGTGTGAGTAAACAAGGAATTGTTGTCGACACTTTTGATGCTAAACTGTGAGCTCTCATTTTGTCTGTTGAATTTGAACTTTTTCTCCGAAAATGGCTGTATTTCAACTAGAAATGTTATTTGTCACAAACTTTTCTAGCAATCCTATTCGCTTTGTAGACATATGTTGTTTTTTGTTTTTTTTCAGTGACTCTGAGCAACCCTGTGGAAAAAGGTATGTGCATTCAATTTGCTATTTGACACTCAGTCCTTGGGTAAAAAGGTTTGCATATGTTCTAGTTAAAATATCAAAAATACTTTCTGTCACTTTTTCTAAGCTTGCTTACTCTTCTGGTATTTCCTTCCTGTAATTACGCATCTGTGAAGTGTACAGCATGCGTTGTTAGACGTGCTGTAACTTTTGGATGTATTGGGAAAAGCCCTTGTTTAGTCGCAGAATAAGCAAAAGAATGTGAAAGGCTTTGATCCTTTTTACTCTTTCAGAAAAAACTATTTCTGTCTATCAGTACACGCCCATACACACACATACCTGTACACGCCCATACACACACATACCTGTACACGCCCCATTTCTCCCTTTCTTTTTTTACTTTTTCAGAGCTGATTTTACAAGCTAAACAGAAAGGACTGTTCTGTGGCCCGCCTGTTTTTTTTCTTTTTTCTTTTTTTTTCTTTTTTTTTTTTTTTCAGTGAAAGCTGTTTTTAATGTTTTTTGTAGGGAGGCTTTTGCAAAAGATTTTTTCTTTGGTTCTGTTGGCCGCTAACCATACATTGAGCAGTAACACAGGAACTTTTGGTTGCTACCACAGACGAGTTACAGCAAAGGTTTCTGTCTCGTCGTTACTTGGCTTGAACACTTCTCAGCTTCATTTGGTGGTACAGGCAGACAGACAGGGTTCTGAGGTCCCAGATGCGGTACGGTGAGGTCACTGAACGAGTCGGGCAGAACAGCAGGATCACTCGATGAGACTGTTTCCACTGGTGGGTTGTTGGAGGCCACAGTCATGCTCTAAGTATAAGGGGTTAGTGGCCATTTTAGTATTCCTCCTCGCCTTTCCTGGAGGTGCTCTGGAGGCATTTGGCTAATACAGACGGCCTCTTACCTTCCTTTCTTCCAGGGTTCTGAAGGATAGAGTAGGTGTAGTGGTTTTCAGCTGGCAAATTGTTCCATGAAGAGCAATTTAAAGATACTTTACAGATCCTCCAGACTGCTGCATCAAGTAAATTCTCTTTCCACTATAGAGCTGTCCTAATATTTGAAACTGTTACAGAGAAACCATAGAAAGCATATCTTAATGATTATTCAGCAGAAGAAAGTTATTAGTTGCCTAATCTATTAGTGCATCTCCAGGTCAGCTTCCTCTAACATGCCACTGTATTGCTTTATCAACAAAATTAAACCTGTTGTGAGATTTATCTCCTTACATCTTAACTTCAAAATGACTGAGCTCCACCTGCACGTAGTACAAGGATAACATCTCAAACAAACTTAAGAGCATAATAATGAATTATCCTTGATTCACAGATCATTCACGCAACCCATCACATTCTTGTGAGGCGTATCAGATCATTTGCCATCTCATTAGAGAGTCTCAAAGCTCTGTTTGGCCTTTTTACCAATTACATTTCCACACAGTTGGGCTTGCTTGAGAAGTTCGGAAGTATTTGGATTTTAGACTTCTCTTTCCACTAGTAGTAGTTCCTTTAATCTTAGTTTTTAAAACTTGAAGCTTAAATAAAACAGGGAAAATGAGGTTATTACTGTGATTAAATGGTGTGTTTAAATAAAGCTGTCCTGCAACTGTTTGATAATGTCTTAGTGAGTCAAATCTTAAAGAAATAACAATCAAATAGTTTGTGTCGCTGAGGGATAGCTGTCCTTTGGCTTTCTGAACCGCAGTACGCCTGCCTATGCCCAAGGGCTTTGAAATAAAGTTCGCATATTGAAATAAGATTACTCTGACGCATGCTGGACTTCATGTGATGATGTTGTGTCTAGTGGATTACAACTCTATCTCGGTAATCACAAGACCCATTTTTCTCAATCTGAGGGATGCTTTCCTGATTTGTTTTATTCTGTCAACTGTGGCAAATCTAAAAGAGCTTTAGTAAGAGCTGTGATTTTTTTTTCTGGTGATGTAACACTCTGCTAGAGCACATTGTTTCTCTCCACTCTCACAAGTGGTGAAGAATGCATGGCATGAGTGGACAGTATGGTACTGTATGGAGAGCATGGCAGTGGATAATATGGTACTGTGATTCTAAGTGCATTTAGTAGCAACTGAACCCCAAATCTGGACATGCTGGAGTATTGCATTATTAACCTTTATGCTGCTCAGCACCAACCAGTTCTGCTTTGCCTGTGCCTAGGATATGGGGAAGAGACAGGAATCCTGTCGTTCCCAGTGATACAGGGTTCTCACCTGCCCCGTGGGTGAAGTCTCTTACAGCTGTGTTCTTCCTCGCCCATGGAGTCAGGTGGGGTGAAGGGGAGGCTTGTGACATGGGTAACCCCTAACTGCAGCCACAGACCTCTGAAATTCTACTGCCCCTTTGACCATAAGGTTTAGCTGTATTGTAATACTGGTTGGTACTGTAAATCTTTCATTTTTCCTTTTTTTTTATTGTTGTGAAAGATTGGAATTATGCCCATCACGAATGAAACTTTTGCTTAAGAAGTCATTGTTCTGCTTCTGTTTTTGTTTTGTTTGTTTGTTTTTTTTTTAGTGGCCTATCTTATAATATTCCATATTCTCTTTGTGCTCTTTGTGTGGACATACTGGAAGTCTATTTTTACTCTCCCGGTGCAGCCAGGCAAAAAGGTAAGAGTCCAAGCACTTTTCATTCATGGCAGAATGAAAGCAGAGATGCCAAAGAATCCTTCAGTCTAGTTGATCTGGACAACTGATCAGATTTTCTAAAGAGGTTGAAAGTGACCTAGGGTTGTCCATAAAAACTGAGTAATTTACCATTCTGAGAATCCTTTAACTCCCCAAAGAGCATGGTTTAAATCAGAGATGGTGTTAACTTTAGAAGCTGCCTTTTCAGGTGTTCCAGGGCCCGATAGGATTTTTCGTGTTGAGAATAATAGGATTGATGATGATTAACTTACATGTTTATAGTGTCATTGATCTCTAAGCATTCAACAAGTTGCAAACCAAATCCCAAGGACCTTCCTTAACCCAGCCTTAACTGGAGTCTCCTGAGTATAGACCTTAGGTTTGGGTTTTCACTCTTCATGGAAGACGTTGCAGTGCAAGTGGAAACTGGTGCTTGTGCAATGGTAGTGGGGTTTCTTGACCTTTTGAGCCAGGCTGGAGACAGGTTCTTGCTCACAAGGGAAGTGCTCAAAGGGTCCTTATCACAGTTAGTAATGTTCTTCATGAAAAATAGCAATCTAAGGCAGCAGTGGTATCAATTCTAGTATGTTGTGTTGTGATCCTTAATTTCAGTTTTGCGTTTCTTATTGATGCATCGCGTAGCATTCTGGCTGCCCAGCACGTCCTGTCCCTCTTTGTGTTCCTAACAAACACATTTTCACATTAGATCAATCTCATTAGAGGGAATGAGAGGTAAAAACGTTTCCGAACTTGCCTGTATTTGAAATACTCTCTCTGCTACCCATGGGTAACTGCTCCTCTTATGGCTTCTGCTTCTAGTACCATATGTCCTACGCTGACAAAGAACGCTATGAAAATGAAGAAAGGCCGGAGGTGCAGAGGCAGATTCTCGCCGAAATTGCAAGGAAGTTGCCGGTGTACACAAGAACAGGGAACGGAGGTAGAGCTAAGCAGAGAGCTTTGTTTTCTCTGAACTGAATCAAGCACACTGAAGTAGCGTACGCTGGCAACTCAGATGGTCCTGCCGACCAATGGGGTGTTCCTAATGCCACCACATGCACTGTGTAACTCTTGTGCAAATCATTGTTGTGTCTTTTCTCTCAGGTTTTATGTTTGGGAAAACAAAAAAGCCTTGAATGCTTCCATTCATCTTCAGTGTGGAGTACCAGGTGCTGCTTTTGAGAAGCAGTATGTTACCCTTGTATTTACAGTTCAAAAGCCCACTTATGTTGTCTGAGTGTAGTAATAGGCTGACAAACTCTGTCGTCGTTTTTACTTAAAATGGAGTCTAGCTTAGATGTGCAGGACATGATCCGGTGGACAGATTTTTGGACCTCGTTCTGTGATTAAGTGCGCTCCTTGCAAAGCTTAAAAGTAATTCGTGTTCGTACTGGAGGCTCTGACCTGGTCATTTTTGTCAGACAAGCCAAAGAATTCTGGAGTAAAGAACTGCTCTATAGGCAATTATCAAAATGGAATGGATGCAAAGGCTGAATAAATGCGGAAGCCAGAGGGAAGCGTACGGTTTTGGCTTATGGCTTTTAAGCTGGTTGCAGGCTTTGCAG